ATTCAGCCTTTAAGACAGACAACCTAGTGCAGAATTCTTTATAGCTTCTGTTTTCCAAATTTCTGATCACATTGATTTGCTTTGCATTACTCAGGACTCTTCTCAGTTCATTATCTTTTTTCTGTAGTTTTGCTGTGAATTAACGCTGTCATAATACTGTGTGAAAGGAAACGATATAGTGAGAAGTATTAAATGCACCATCGGTGATAGATAACTTCACAGACTTGAAGTTATTCCTCCTTCATATTCAGTGGTATTGAGAAATCTTTCTTCAGGTGAAGAAATGTGTTTATGTGTGCGCACTGTTTTGTGTGACTCAGAAAATGAAAATCAGTAGGAAAGAACTCAAAGGAGAGCAATCAGTATATATATGCTTGCTTTATAGCAAAAATATTGATGCCAATATTTTGCTGTCAATCCTCAGTGCTAAATTTCTTTTCCTGAATAAATGGTGCAAGCTTTTTTCTTTTGTGCAACTGACTGTTCTTAAAGTGTAGAATCTTGCACTTTTTAACTGTTGTACTACTTTTTTTTTTTTTTTTTTTTTTTTTTTTTTTTTTTTTTTAACATTAGTCATGGCAATTTTAAATTTTAATTCTGTTTTGCTCTGAGCAAATGTCTTTATCTTTTGATCATAGTAGTAGATGTGTAAGACACATATCAAAAGATTTAAGAGAGAAAATAATTTTAGTCTGCTGTAATGTAGTGGTCAGAGATCTGACTATGTGGGATAGCCTGAAGTTCTCTCTGTCTAATTTTAAGTTAGGCAGAACAAAAATGAGTGACTCCATTTTTCACATCTTCAGCAGGTGCTGCAATCATCAGTGTGCTGCAGATGCAGAATTTCAACTGAGTGTTTTCATGCAAAAATTAAACCCGATTAGACAGTTTGGTCATTAAATCCTCTGAGATGTAAATATCACTGGTAAAATACTTATGTGTTACATTTAATTGGAAAAAAAATGAGATTCAATTATTATACTTAAAGCTTTGTCCTTTCAATTTTTTTTTTTTTTTTTTTTTTTAATTTATATTTATAAATATGCAGGGACAACCCTGGCTGTATGTACAGACTCAGGGATGAAATGCTGGGGACCAGCTCTGCTGAAAGAAATTTGGAGATCTGGTCAACAGCAAGCTGAACATGTGTCAACAATGTGCCCATACAGCCAGAGAGGCCAACTGTAAACTGGGGTCCATCAAGCACAGCACTACCAGCCAGTCGAGGGAAGGGATTGTATTGCTCTGCGCTGCACTGGTGCATCCTCACCTTGAGTGCTGTGTGCAGCTGGGCAACGTAGTACAAAAAGGACAAAAAGGACTACTGATTATCTTTGAACACTTTCTCCCACTCTTCAATACCTAGTATGAAAAGCCTCACAAATCCTACTCTACCAATCTGAGAAAAAAGTGGCCGTAACCAAGTCAGTAGTTACTGTGGAATGCCTAGTATGCCTCAACAACACTTTCACACTCTGCCTAATTTTTTACAAGGTTTTTCAAAATAAAATTTTAAAGCAGGGAAGACAAGTGTTTTATGTCAGTTAGACCAAAGTTTCACTTAGAGATGCCTATTTTGAAACAAAATTCAGAGTTCTGAGATTTAGGCGGTAGATAAAATATACACAGAAAGAATTAGGGTATTTTGAGTAGGGTACCAAAACATTGCCAGCAGGGACTGCTTTAAAGCAGATATGCTGGCTAGGGATGTGCCTGATGAAGATAAGAACAAAACCGATAAAAGCATTCATCTGCATTCATCTCCCCTCTTGAGAATGTTTTTCTCTTATGTGTGGTATTGAGAGGTTTAGGGCTTGCTCAAGTAAGAAAGTTTCAGTAACTTTTCTTTCAAAAAATGCGATAGTGACTTTCTTAATGGTTCACATGACAATTATACTATTGTTCTTTTTACCTCTTCTTCCCTCCATGTTAATGTTCACACATAGACACAGACACGAAGCCTCATGCTTCTTTTCTTGAGGACAGTATCTAGAAACCCCATCAGAAGTATGGAAACCAACATTTACTTTTCTCCTCTGCACAAATGAATTTTAATTTATATTCCTCTATAGCACTTAAATCCTATACAGCTCTACATGTTTTCTACTTGTTCTTTTTTTCTTGCAAAGCACATAATTCTGATGTATGATCTCTAGTCCAACTCCCCTGCAATTAACAGGGACATCCACAGCTAGATCAGGTTGTCTGGAGCCTTATCCAGTCTCACACTGAAAGCCTCTAGGGACAAGGCATCAACCACTTCGCTAGGCAGCCTGTTCCAGTGCCTCACCACCCTCACTGTAAAATATTTTTTCCATACATCTAACCTAAATCTACCCTATTTCCCATTAAATGCTCTTAGTTTGAAGAAGCACTTTTTGTGGACTGAAATTTGCCCAGTAGAGTTGCAAGTACCACCCTCTTCAACACAGAGCAAAGAAGGGAATGTTCTGAACTCTGATTTGCAGCCATTTATAATGGTCTAAAAAAGCACACTTGAAAGGCTGAGAGGGATCTGGATTAATCTTATTGATTCTGAAAGCAAATAAGGCATTGTCGCATGTCATCTTAACTCATGTAAGGAGTTAAATGAAATGTGAGCTAAATACTATAATTTAATGGGAATAGAAGAGTTTCAGTGAGACTTTCACTTTAAGTAGTTTGATAGGTATTTAATTTGTTACTCTACATATTTCAGGATATTTTCCATTGTGTTTCTTCTAAACCTACGAAACAATTACTAGCTAGAGAAATGGTCTGCTTTGTGATTGGGTAATGTGCTCACGTAGTTTTGCTCTCTCAAGATGTTTCTGTAGAGCATAATTTGGTGTGTCAGCCAAAGAAACTGTGATTGCCAATGTGGGTAGAATAGAGATGTAAAATTAGCAGATAGAAAAAAGGTGCTGGGAAGATGGTTTTGCAAGGCAGTGTGTCCACTATACAAAAATATCCACTGCTATACAGCATAGTTTTTAAGCAGATGATTTTGACACAAATTTAATATGTTTTCATTTATAGGATATTGATAAATCATCCAAAACTGCTGGAAATTTAAAATATGTCAAAATTTTAGGATAATTAATACATGTCAGTTTCCAAACAGGTGAGAATGATTAAGGCTTCCACTCTTGCTGTACTTGGTTTCCTTTGTGAATTCCCTGTGAACATGATGTGCAAGATTTATCTTTCTAGAATTAAACACTTGTGTCTGAGTTATCATTTATATTTATTTTTTAAGTCACAGTAGAGAGCTATGATGCAATTTGTTCCCTTCAAGATGGATCTACAGAAGGGGTCAGGTAAATCATGTTTCAGAGGTGTCTGTTGCTCACCACTGGATTACAGAATCTAAATGACCATTCTAGGTGTGCATTTCTGCACTGGAAACCTTTCATGAGATTTGATTCAAGGTTAAGACGCCTATTTGTGGATGTCTGGTGGCATGATCAGTGTCTGCATCCCATCATATTGTGGAGATCTGGCCTCATCTCCTGCTACAAGGACATGAACCTCCTGTAAGCCCTGCATCAGCCTTACGTTCATCTTGAAATGGGTGCCTTGGATATTCTAAAGTGTGTTAAATGGTGACAGTGACATACATGGGGTAACTCATTTGAGCTTAGAGAGAACAGAACCTCATGATCATCTGCTGTGTAAGCACTTAAGAGTAAATATAATTTCTGTGCTTTCAATTTCCACTAAATATAAGGGAAGATTTGACATTTGATTATCCATAGAGCTACTCATCTAAATTTCAGTGCCTTAAATTTAAAATGACTTCACAGACCAAAACTTTTTACTAATGATCACCACAAAGTTTTCCCCTAATTTTGTAGAAAAATGAAAATATTATAAAGATAATGTTTCATGTTTGGTTTTACTTTCAAGTCCTTTGTTAAAAAGTACACAGGGTACAAGGCACGTTTCTTCTTTAATTCCATTACTCTGTTCTTTTTGGCAATCTGCTATTTAATAAAATGAATAGACTTGATTCAAAACAATCTTTTGAAAACAAATCTTGCAGCTAAACCTTAAATTATGTATGACTGTTCTTCAGTTGCATAGAAAAAAGTGCAGTGATGTTATGATATTGTTATACACCTCATAAATTAGTAAATATTATTCTTAAATATGATAATGCATTTCATAACAGGTTTGTCTCTTTTCTTCTTCTGTGAAATGACTGCAAAGCTATTAAATTGCACTAGTCTTCCTTTCTTAACAAATAGCTGTAAACAGTGCTAATTCCACATAATTTAAGAAAAGAGCTGACTGAAGAATAAGAAAAATTTGCAGATAAGTGAATATACCAAAAATTAAAATTGACTTTATTTACTACTATTCATGAAGAAAAATTTTGATACCAAAATACTTGACTACATAAGAGAGTTTACTAGTTGACAGTCCAGTGGTAATTTCAGAAATGTATGTCCATCTTGACATTAGCCAACTGAAGTCCTGTGACACCAGCATTTGTGATCACAGTATGTATATCTGTGTGTTTTATAAGGTGAAAACCTAGTTTTGCATCGTGATAGAATTATCATAAAAACAACATTTGTGATAGATACCTGACACGGTACGAGGGAAACCTCTGAGTCAGAAACAATATTGCATTTCTTTATTGAACAGAAAAATACATTCACATAGATTTATACGTACATTATCTATCTACTTATAATTGAGTTCCACAGCAAGTCATACAATTGAAAACAAAAAGAACATACTTCAGCAGTGATACTTTGTGAAAAAGTACAAGGGAGGATGATTTCTTTTTGTGTTTTAATGATTACTTCAAAGACAATTTAGCCTGTTTTTTTACAGCATAAAAGAGGCTTTGTAGGTCTAATTCATTTGGAGCCTGAATAGCAGACCAGTTTTCCTCTTTCTTTAAACAGTGTTTGTTTATACAAATTTTATGTATTGAATGGGATACAAGTTATTATCACTAAGAAATGTTCATGTTCTTAATTTTTTGTTTCTGTGCCTTGCTTTTACAGACTAAAACTGGTATTGCTTTGTTGTATGATGAAGTATCTGAAAATGCTCATGACATCCGGCTGAAGCTCACAAAAGAGGTATTAACAATTCAAAAACAAGATGTCGTCTGTGTTAGTGGAAGTGATCACAGTGCAAATGTAAGTGCTTCTATATCTCTGTGCTTTCGACTGCACTTTGTTTTCTGTAGTGATCAGTTTATGGTATTTGGAGTGCAAGAGGATTTATTGAGTAACAGAAGTATGTAATGTGTCACATGGCTGCAATATAATGTGTCTGTGCACCTAAGTGTATATCATTATGCTAGTGATATTTAAATGCCTTGTAAATAAACTTACTTTCCTGGAAAAGGATTTGATATTCTATCTTGACCAGTCCCTGGCTAGTTCTTGAATGAATCATCATAGGCTGAGTGCATCTGAGGAAAAGTTCTATCAGATTTGTGTTTGTATTTATCATCACTCATTGATCGTTCACAGAAAAATAGGAAGGAATGGTTAATCCAAATCTTCACTTGGGAGTATCGAGATTTGTGTTGGTTCATATTTTGACACAATTTTCTCCTACATGTTGTAGATACCCTAAACAGTATTTCCAGGTGGAAGACAGGACAGGAAGACAGGCTCTGAAAGGGTTGGTTCAGTGTAGGCTGTCTTTGTCAAACTTTAATGCATAAAAATGGATTAAGTCATACCTTGATGGGAATATTTGCTTTTTCTATATTATACATAATCAAATAAAAACTTTTGGAAAATTAGCATTTGAAATAAAGGCCAATTAAGATAAGCACTGTGTATTTTACAGTATGTGAATTACTCAGGAGCTCAAAAGCAGAATTTGAAATCAGGCTGAAATAATGGTAGCTCTTTAGTGACATTTTTGGTAACTGAAGTTTTAAATTTACAGCTACACATGCTAGATTCAGAAGAGATAAATGCTTTATATTTCACGTGGTTCAAGAAAATAATTTTCATCTCTCCTCTGTATGACTCAAAATATTAATGGAAAACTGTAACTTGAAAGTCAATTCTATAGCAGTCACAAACATTTTTTTTCTTACTCATTCATTCTCCTTTCTATACTTATTATTTCTTAGTTACTCATAGTTAATCTTTATTTGGACATGACCATTTATCACAATAGTGCCTTTGCAACAAAAATAGAAGTAAAATGTTTGTCTTTGTCCTGGAGTGATGTGGAACATGTAGGAAGAATACAGAAAAGTTACTCTAAAACCAAAATCTTTCTCCGTAAGTAGGATGTATGAGTGGACAAATTGAAGAAGTAAGCCCTGTATGTACTTGTGATAATATTTTTTTCCTTCCGCCAGTATTGTGAGACAGCATTCATGGAATGTATTTGTTTCCACTCCTTTTGCTCACAGATTCATTGACCTTGAGGAATACTGAGGACAGGATTTGCGGATGTTTAACTGCTGGCTCCATGCATTTCTGAATGATGAGGGCTGGCAAAGGTGTCAGTTAGCACAGGTGCTACCTTGGTGGTTTGGACTTTCAGCAGTACAAATCACTCCCAAGGACCTCACACTGATTGTGCAGATAAAAGTCTGTCTCTGTAGAATGCCCATCTTTTACTGATGTCATCTTGATCTTTACTTGTTTCATGTTTTGCCATCTCACATTCATATTTAGGTACTATCTTTATGCGCAGAGAAAGCTTTATCTTTGATGAGCAGTTGTAGGGCTTGTTTTCTATCATTTTACTTGGAAGTAAAGTATATATAGAGAGAGGAATGTCGTTTCTAGAATTCAAGATACGTAGAGAGGAAAATAATGTAAAGGCAATCGATTATTCTCCTCCGTATTTAGCTTTTTCACAGTGTACATCAAAATGTAATTCAGTAATTTGGGCTTGGGAAATCCAGCAGTCCATGCAAATTTTCATGACTCAGTGTTATGTTCAAAATGTTCAAACTCATAGGAAAAAAGTCTGTAAGGTTGGATCAGCACCCTTGAAGCATGAAGATATTGACAGAAATGGTATATGGGAAAAAAAAATGAATTTTTTTAAATAAATTCTGAGTATTTTTGGCAGAAGGTTCTTTTTTTTTTTTCTTTCTTTTATATGAGTAGTTTAATAACACTTACAGAAAGGAATCAATTATCAATTAAATGAGCGCCAGGGTAAGACCTATTTTCAGTTAAAGGAGAAACAGAGAGGCATTCCTTTTTATACTTCTCATAGTACGCTTTTTCTGAAGAGTATGATTTTTTAATAACTTTTTTGTCATTTAATATGTTAAAATTAATTTCTTACATATTCACGGTACCTCATTCCCTTCCTTACTACTCTGCCTATCCTTTTCCTGTTTTAACCTCACAGTTTCGTGCCTCTCTTCTTTTCATAAATACTTTTCTCTTTTAATTTGCATTTTATCTTGGTCTCTCTTTTTTTCTGCTTTAATTCCACTTGCAAAATTAAAAATAAATACAGATATAATTGCATCTGGCTTTTTACCACAATCAGTCCCTCTCACAGAGCTGAATTTCTCTGACTTGATCAATGGTCAGGCAGGTTTTCACTAGGAAGAGAGGTCTTCAACAGATTATGTGAGGCAAAAGGATTAGAATGACAAAAATCTTTGTTTTCTACATGCCCAAATTTCTGGCTTTGTAAGTCCTTTCTTAGCTAGAGTTGGGCAGAGTGAAGTGAGGTAGATGAATAAGATCTCTTTGAGGTGAACCATTCCATTCCAAACAGGGAGGAAAAGCTGGACGATTTTTTAAACTAAAAATTAGAATGCATTAAGTGCTGTTTCAATCCCTGATGAACTGCTATGATTCTTTTCCTTTATAACTCAGATACTAATAAGGCCATAGAAAAGATTTTATTTTAGCAAAGCTGTAGAGAAAAGACATCAAGGGCTAAAGTTTATTTTTTAAGCTAAGTTGCATTTCTGTCTAGGTAACTACAGTTACTACTGTGTTTGCCCAGAGTCTGTTCTGTCATCATTAGTATGCATATATATCCAAAATAATTTTTCAAAGAGCTTTTAAAATCAGCTAATGTTTACATTTTTATTTTATTTTGAAACACCAAGTGGATGATTAAAGGAAGACTCTTCCTTTTGAAACTAAGATCATTTGTATAGAGAAAATGCATTATTTAACTATTTGTTATTTGTTTTCACGTGCTGAAAAGCTGACCTAGATACCTAAAAGATAACAATCTTTTAGCAATTCTTTAGGATTCTTTAGGAATTCTTTAGGATTTTTATTATGAAAGATCATAAGCTTCCGTTGCTGTCATTTTGAGAAGAGTTAAGAGCTATTATCACAAAATAAATAATAAATATGAGTATTCATCAGCATGATGAAAAACCTCAAACCTCAGTAATAAAGATAAAAAGAATAAGTAGCTTAAGTTTAAAAGACTAATAAATGTAACAGCACAGGGATGCAGAGGGTACTATGGATGTTCCTGAAAAAAAGTCTCTCCATGAGTTGTGTAAAGAGTCAGCTGAGGGTGAGTTAACATACCCGCAAGAGAGAAGGAAAGGCAGCACAGCACTGATGTTACTACAGTTGTGTCCTTTATTAAAATTTCAGTTTATCTATTGTACGTGGAGACATAGCAGACTGTAAAGATAGTTAAATTGCTACTGTATACATTGTGAGAGCTGGTTTAGCAGTTTAAAGTCTTCAAGAGCTAGAAGAAAAATAGATGACTACAACAGAGACATGAGCATTTCCTATCATAGTATGTTAGATGCTAATGGTTGCCAACTCTGCTCTTCATTTTTATTATATTACCCGCCAACATATGAAATATTGCACAAAGTGAAGGTAAATGAAATTATTCAAATAAAGAACAGCTGCTAATTTCTGTTATAGGATGCCTTTTTATTTAAAAGAAAGAAGTAGGGAAAATGAAGCATAAACATATCTTACCATTGGTTCCAGTCTATGTTATTAGTAGCTCTGGAAATCCAGATTTGTATTATCATCTGTATTGTCAGTCACAGAATACTTTGAATTGGAGGGAACCTCATAAGGTTATGATTCAACCCACTGTTCAGTGCAGGTTTAACTACAAAGGCAAGTTACTGAGGGCTTTGTCTATTGAAGTTCAGAACATCACCCAAGATGGAATTTTCACCACCTCTCTGGGCAGCCTCTTCTAATGCATAACCATTTTTGCTGTGATATTCTTTACAATCATGCTCAACTGGAATTTTTTTAGCTTCAAATAGGGACATGTGTCTCCTCAGTTTGTTGTGCATCTCTGAGAGCAATCTGGTTCTGTTTTCTATATAATCCTCCTTTAGGTTGGCAGGCTTTGAAACTAAAATGAGTGACTTCATTTTACTCTAAAAAAAAAGACTCTGAGACTTTGATCTACCGTAATAGAAAGAGTTATAATAAGATAAACTGATAAAAGTATCTTGCTATACTATACTATATTTATTAAGAATTCTCTGCAGCTGTCCCAGATCTCAGCTAGCATGTGAAAAGATTTACTTTATCTCCATACAAAACTTGAGGGCTACTGGCATGCCTCAGTCATTTGTTATAGATGCATTCTTCTTGTTACTTTTTGGGAAAGGTTGCATACTGAGCAATGCAAAAACTTAAAAGTTTCAGCTCTCTCTTTTCCATTAATAGTAATCTTTTGCTTTTTAGCTATGTGTTCTTTCTAGCCTGCCTCCTCTTCATGGAAGTGTAGAATTAGGCATCGTGGGATGCCATGGAGTATTAATTCATACTTTTCCTCTCTTTTGTGGGATCTCTTGGCTTATATTTCAATTGGCTCCATAATTCCACGTCCAAGAAGTTACGCTTCAATACTAATTTAATTATTCCTAAGGCTGTAAAAGACACTTAAAACTGATGGACTTAGCACTGAAATTTATACAACATCCTTTGAGCAAAAAGCTTTTCCTAAAGGCCAGACATGTTATAACCAACAGGAAAGCAATTATTACTTCTAGTAAAGTTGTTTGACTGACATCCTACCCCCAATATAGTTTTATGGAAAAGCTGTTATATTGTTTATTTGACTGTTTACCTAGTCAGTTATCTGTTCCTGTTTTTTTACAGTTCCTGTGAGGACAGTATTAACAACAGATATGGCACATTATCTGGCCAAATCAGCTAAGTGAAATTTACTTTTTCCTCAT